TGGACCTGCTCTGACCCTCCCCCGCAACTAGCTTTTGTTTCTTTCCACCATTCAAGAACCTTTAACGTAAGCATAAATAGACGCCCAAATCATGGAGCAGGCAATTTAAGAGACTGTAAATGAGTGCTGCCAAAAGGCAGACGGGAATTAATGTTTGCCGGACAAGAGGTAAAAAGGGGCGCTGCTAATCTTTCACTAGAAGACTGGGCTTCATTATGAATAGGCGAAGCCTGCGGGAAATTGGGTTCGTGACCCGTTTTCAGAGACTGAAAATGATTTTTGCTATTACTGGAATTAAAACAGTTATTCTGATGGCAGCAACAGTGTTAAGATGAAGGAAGATTCATTTCGAGAGAATTGCAAATCCCGGATGCAGACTTGTAAGTATTCCGTCAACGTTGCTTAGCTTGTTGAACGTAAGCGACTCCTTTGGAGTTTCGGAATTTTTTAAAAATGCAACAAAACTGCATGGTAGGACTGCATGGTGACTGCATGGTAGGACTGCATGATAGGACTGCATGGTGACTGCATGGTAGGACTGCATGGTGCATGGTAGGACTGCATGGTGACATGCAACAAAACTGCATGGTGAACAAAGATAACTAGACTAGGAATATGAACAAATGTTTTGGGAATTATTGTTACTAGATTTATGTTTTATTATATTATGCATAATTATTGTTATTATAATTTTACAAAAATAAACGTTTTTTCAGAAAAGAAATCACAGATTTTAATTGCACAGAAGTTTGATTTTAATTAAGGTGTGGGCTGCACTTGTTGTATTGACCCATTTTTAAAGCTATTTGGCATAAAATTTACTTAATTCTTAAATCAACTCGTTCAAAATATACATCTGTTGAGATATACATCTGTTCCTTACCGTCATTTTTAATGGCATCTCTCTTCTTGATGAAGTCGCACCCTCACCTCTTAGCCCACCATCGCCTCGCTCTCTCTCTCTCTCCAGACATGTTGTGCTGTTGTATTCGATTAGATGAATCTAATCGAAGTCTCTCTTAACCGAAATTTCTCTTAAGCGAAATTTCATTCAACTGAAAAATTAAAGCAAACTAAGACAGCAAATCTCAATTCTCAGTCATTTCTACTGTTTTTAAAGTAAATTTTCTGTTTGTAGAAATACCTTTAACGAATTCTTTCATTTAAGCCATTTTTAAGTCATTTATCTTTCATGGGAGCTGACAAATATTTAGCATTTCACGGAAATAAGGCATTTTAATTTTCTTCCCCATGGCCTAACATATAACCAATTTCCAGACTGCTGCCATTCGACGTGGCAAATCTCTTTCATTTATCTTTAAAATTATAATAATCTACAGTTACTTACTTAACTAATTTAAAACCAATAAATACATTTTTTAATAGTTTAATGCAAGGATTTCCAACGTTTTTCTCCTTTTCTTTTTTCTTTTTTTTTTTGGGGGGGGGGAGCGGGAGGGGGGCATCCAGTCCTTCTAAAACAATGGTTTCTTCATCGACACTTTATATTTTTCTCTATAATATGCAGCATTAAAACGTAATAATAGTACAAATAAACGCACATAAATAATTTAAAGATAACTAGACTAGGAATATGAACAAATGTTTTGGGAATTATTGTTACTAGATTTATGTTTTATTATATTATGCATAATTATTGTTATTATAATTTTACAAAAATAAACGTTTTTTCAGAAAAGAAATCACAGATTTTAATTGCAGCACAGAAGTTTGATTTTAATTAAGGTGTGGGCTGCACTTGTTGTATTGACCCATTTTTAAAGCTATTTGGCATAAAATTTACTTAATTCTTAAATCAACTCGTTCAAAAATGTTTAAATTGGTTCTTGTTTCCGTGGTAAATTATTGATTTGACAAAACTTATTTCCATCAGGTAAAAAGAGGAAAGAGTCAATTCAATAATGTTGGTTTTGTAACAACTTTTCTTTCGGGATACTTCCCTCCAATAACTTTTAAATTCCAAAAATTAGTTAATTAGTCATGTACAGGCTCTTTTTTTAAGACGTTACTCAGAGCCATCTGTAGTTTGATCTGCCAACTAAAATGCCACCAAATTATTTGACAAGAGTATAAATGATGACATGAGGAAAAAGAGACGCTGGTCTAGTCTACATAGCTGAGGAGACAAATCAATAACAAAGTAGAAATTTGACATAAGCTCTAGTTAAATGTAGTAAATAAACTGCCCCATAGGGCTACAGAGATGCTATTTCAGTGCACCATTACATGCTATTGAATAAAAACGCTTCTTCGGCGAGGATATAGACCTCTTACAATGTGACCATCCTTCTGCTGACTACACAGTGCATTTTGTGCATAACCGTACAAGGTCTTCTGTCACCATGGTGTATAAAATCTTGTACTTTAGTAGAGGGAGAGAAGATAAAAAGGAACTAGAAGATTAAGAGAACGAAAAGCTGAACATCAAATTGTTATTTTTTTTAAATATCCGAAAGTTCTCAAACAATTATATTACATATAATTTCCAAAGATGAGGAGAAAAAATGCAAAAAGCATTCAATAACGTTACCAAAGTAATAACATACAAGCAATGAAGAATTAGCTTGTGAACTTTCCGTTTTGCGAAGCTAGCTATTTCTCCTAATTGACTTCAAATTTACTGTATATCGCTTCAATACGGAAAATTTTCGTTCTGATCTTTATTGACGCTAATTAAATTCTTCTACCTCATTTTCCTATGCAGTTTTTGCAGTCTTATTTTCTGAGATGTTTCGCAACAAAAAACAATATCTAAATATTTTTAATGAAATTATAAGTCTGTAGGTTGCTTATTCTTCCTCCTAATTAAAAAAAAAAAATTAAATTCTTTACAGTTCTTTTAATTTTTTTTAATTTTGTCTTCTATTTTTAATGATGCAGAAAGATAAAGTGCACAGTATATATTTTAACAAGGTATTTAAAAATTAATACTAATAATATTTTTCATATTTACGATACATATATTGAGCTACAATGTTTGAAAAAAATTAGATTTTAACCAAGCATTTTCCAGTTGGAATTATTTTTCACTCATACAGTATGCATGCTTTAGTGAAGACAAAAAATAAAATAACATTCAAAATTCTTTGTCACAACAGAGGAACTCTTTGGATCCATGATACTCAATGTAATGACCGCAGCATGCACAGTTTTTTCCTTAATGAATGTCCAGTATAGTGTTCAATATAAAGACTAGTAGAAGTAGAAAGAGAAATTTCGATAGAGGAACAGCAGAAGCTTTGAGAGATCCAGTTTTGCGCTTCGTGAATAAGCATGCATTCCCAACTCAAAATGGTAAAAATTAACTTCATACAAAAAGTGAAATTGAAATCATTCAGTGCAAAAGGGATATAAATGAAAAAAAGATCAAAATTTCAAATATATTTAATGAGGAACATCTTCGTTTTTATCGATTTAATGCATTAAAATCTAAATTTAAATTACCTTTTATATAAACAACTCCAATTTAAATGCTCATTCGCCTCGAATATTGGACACTCGAATATGAACATTAATGGAAGAGCTGCCACGTGCAGTATAGGCCTAGTATTATTTGTTTATTGAGTTATTTTTCAGCCATAACAAATGCTCTTTGCTTTTCTAAAATTACCTTAAAAAATTAATTCTAAATTAAATAAATGAACGTGGAAACAGTATATTATTTTTATCCCCCCCCAAATTATTTTGCTTTACAGTACGGAACGAATTGTAGTTACTTTCTATTAGTCTAGTGGTTCTCAACCTATTTTCCTTCTTGCACCCCTTTGACCATTGCTAGAAAATCACTTCCCCTTTCATTCCTAAACTCAAATACATGTACACATTTATTTAATTTTTTTAGCATGTTTTATAAACTTTTACTATAAAAAAATCATTGAAATCAAAGACAGTAAACGAAAACGTAAAATGCTCCTACTTATATTACAGTACACACATACCAGTATTTGGCTTCGGAAGAAAAGACAACTCAATGATACATATTTTTCAAATACATGCATGCGTTGTAGTTTCGGTTAGACAGGATATTTTGAGCTCTATTGTTCTCTAGATTTTAATATTCATCTGTTGCAACCATACTTGAAATCATTCTAAGAGTAATCTGATATGCCAGCCACCTTATGCACAAAAAAAAAAAAAAAAAAAAAAAAAAAAAAAAGCACTTTAGACGTAAATAACACGCACTTCATTTTCTTTCCCATTTTTCTCTTCTTATTATTCATGTGATTGATTTGGACTACTTGAAAACATTTAGACGCCTTTCTTCTTTCCACTGCTATCACTTCATATGCTTTTATGGGCAACAAATGTCTTAAGGGTTTCAAATTTCTTTTGTTACTGATTGTGTTAGGAACTTTGCCACATCAAGGGGAAAGTGCTGCTGACTTCTTCCCAGAGACTTGCACTTAATAACAATCGTAACTCCATCATTAATCATTGCTAGTTTCGTGACGTAAAAGAGCTGATAAGATTTTAGAAAACAAAGATAAATATCCAGAAGTGGAATTATCCCACACAAATGTGATTCACCAGACACCAATGACAAACATAAACAATAACTTAAGATCTGCGTTTGAAGATGAAAGCAAACTGTTAAGCAAAGTTAACAACATAGTTCTCATTTGGACAACTCTTTCTAGCATTCATACGGAGGGCCACCATTGCTAATTCGGATTTTCTTATTGATGCGAAAACAATGGTTTTGAGATAAGACCATTTTGATTCTCCTCGATTTATTTCTTAAGGAACTAAATTATCTTCCAAAACAGAGTAATATAAGGACTCTCATGTGATATGTGTATATTAAAACAATACGTATGTCCATCACATTAGATAAAATTCTTTCAGAAAATTATTGATTAAATTTTAGAAACATGAATTTTGCTTTTGTGATGCCTTTCATAACTGTTATTATAATTATGTTTTAAGTGTTTATTTAATATGTTTATTGTAAATCTCAACTATTGGTATGTTTATTATAGCTCCGATAAAGGTGCTCTGATATAAAGGTACAAGAGCCTAGATGGAAGTTGCTTCCTTCAAGCTATAAACTGGATTCTGTAATGGTGTCGGCTTTATAAGAATGTGGGCACTTTACGCCAAGACATCTTTTGCAAACATAGGCCCATTTGTACAAAAGAGCTGGCACCTTTATTATGGAGTGCCAAGACAGAAACCGCCATAAAGGTATCATACTTTGATGGGATTGGTTTTTCTCCAAGTTCTAAAATGAATTTCATAAGGATAAGGCACCTTTATGCGCGTCGATGAATATTCACTGAAATAAAGACTTTTACGTAGACGTTCTGGTATCCTGATGAAGGTTTCATTCTTCATGGAGTAAACGGAACTTCATCAAGTTTTATGTCTTGATGAACGATGGTCAACTTGCAAAAGGTGCGGCACCTTCACTCAAGTGGAGGACTATTTACTTAGATTCCCAAAATCTTGACGAAGGTTTCATTCTTCATGGTATAAACTGGAATTTCCGAGGGACTTAATTTCCACATGGACCCCCTCGCATTTTGATGAAAGATACATTCTCATGGTATACACTGAGCTATATAAAGCTGTCAGATACTCCTTATGTCTTGATGAACAATGTTTAGCTTACAGTAGTTGCCATCTTATTTATTCAAGTCGGCGATTAAGTTCTTTACACGAGTTTCTCGGAATGTCGACGAAGTTATAGTCTTCATGGTATATATTGATCTTTAGAAAGGTGCCGCGAACCTTTGTGTCTTAATGACGGAGCACACTTGTACCTTGGCGAGCAAACAGCAACTTGCATAAAGCTGCCAGCACATTTATGCAAGTAAGGCCGCGCCGGTCAGACAATTCCATTCGCCCTTGGTGCTAACAAATATCACTGTCAAAAAATGAAATCCTTGACGATGGCAATGATAGGTAATGAATGTAGAATTTGAGTATAGGATTACTTCTTGATATAGGAAGACTGAAGTTCCCATCAAGAAATGCGCGAAATTCATTGCTATCTTTCAGTGCTCTACTTTCTCACATAAAATGCCACAAATTCCTAATATTTCTCTGTTTTATGCAGTATATTAATAGCGGCACTACTGTCGTATGCTCTCTCTCTATATATGGTATATACTTCTTCATTTCGCTGTATATTGTGTACATTTTATTTTATTGTGTGTCAGCTGTTAATGCTTTGTATTTCAAAATATCAAGTAATGTACTGCATCAGGTTCATGTTTCTTTGTCACAAAGTACGTAGTTACACAGTACTGCACATATGTACTGTACATTGCATATCTTTTATTTAAAATATCAGATATGTACTGCGTCATGCTCCCGTTTCGTTGTCGCACTACTTGAATCTATAGTGTTACTGTATACAGGGTGTACCGTAAATGTTGCGACAAACTTCTAGGGGAGGTAGGGCACATCATAAGAATTAAGGACTGCAGAGGAACCCATGCCCAGAAACGTCACTGTACGCCGCCAGGGTGTGTGTGCTCTACAGGAGAGTGCTAGTGGAAAGGATTGCCTCATTCGAGCTGTACCACAATATGAAGAGCATGGAACATTATACGAACGGAGATCTTGCAGGCATGCACTTAGTGTATGAAATAGCTGAAGGTAATGGACGAGCCGCTGCACATATTTATCGAGAAGGCTTCCCCGACAGACATCAACCACACCACAGTTTGTTTGCACGTCTGCATCAAAATTTGTACCACTACGGGTCATTAAAGAAGTGGACTCATTTTGGAATGGATATTCGTAGCCATTTGAACAGCTCATTCCTGTATCGATGTTTCCTTTCCTATCTTCTACCTCTGCTACCACTTACCCCTGACATTTCCGGGTATAGGTTCCTATGCAATTCTTAATCCTCATGATATGCCCTTTCTCCCCTAGAAGTTTGTCGCAACATTTACGGTACACCCTGTATTTTGTATTGTAAACTATGTATTTTCTCTTGATTTAATAGCATCTTATTATTAATTGCATCATGTTTACACTGTATTATATTTTGTCCATTTCATCTTGGTATCACTGCTCCGTTTCTAGCCATACTTTTAGCAAGGGTTAAATTTTCTACCAGATATTTTATTATTTAATACAAAGCATATTTCTTTTCACACAACTGGCTTAGCTAGTAACTATTTAAAGGTGTTTCTGGTACCATATATTATTACAGCAGCTATAAAATTTCTGACTCTTTTGTGCATTTATTGCCATCTTCATCGACAAACTGATAATAAAATTTTGGGGTAACAAACAAAGCATACTTGTCAACTGTCTCTTTTTTTCTCTCTTAATTTAAACTCCAAAGATTTGGTTTTATTAACCGGCAACACTACTATAGTACGCAATTAATTGGAACACTGATTTTTTTGATAATTTGAGTACATACCTTCAAATACAGTGATAATAGTAAAATTAATAAGAAATATTTCCTTCTCTAATAGAAATGACTTCTAGAATGTGCTTAGGAATTGACTGCATTAGTCTTGCGCATATATTTTTGACTTCTTTATCATAGAAACTACACTTCTATAGCGTTCTTAATCAAGCTTTCTTTTGCCGCGCAATCCATTTTGTTAAGATGCTAATTGAGAATGTGCCACAGGTTTTCAATGGGATTTGAAAAGAATGGTGAATTTCCAGACCAATCTAGCACAATAATTGTATTTTTCAACAGTAAACTTCTGAAAATTTTCGACTTATGGCATGGAGTCAGATTATGCTAAAATGCTCCTGCAAAGGTTTTCAAAAATGGCATAATCCTATATTTAAAAATTTTACATACTTCCTTGAATTCATCATTCTGTCAATGGGAACTAGAAATCTAGTGCCATCTGCTGTGAAAAAAATGGCAAAGCATTTCTTTTTGAGGTATTTTTCGGTTTGTTGGATTATTAATTCACCCTTGTTTTGTCTAACAACGTTAGATGGGCAACCAAGGACAAACAAATGAATTTCATTGTTAAAATGACCTTTTCCAGTCATTTACGGTTCAAGATTTGTATCTTTGGCCCATAATAATCGTTTTTGGTACATTTGATGTGCTGAAAATTGTGCTTTAGCGCATTTTCTTGCGTTCCGGCCAGCACAGAGAGGTCTACGTCGCATATTTGAAAGATGACTATCACGAGTAGACAAATAGATGCCCTTTAAGGGCTTTGCTAGTTTTTGTTAGATTAATAATGCTATTTTAGGATGATATTTTAGGATCAGATTTTGGAGTTGTTTTCCTTTTCCTTTCACACTTGCACTTTCTTTCTCGAAAAAAATTATCCAGTTTCATTGTGCCTGCTCAGAAACACTCGATTTTCCAAAACCAGCTTATGGTATAGTAATCTTAATTTATTGTTTAAACCAGTCAAAAGTAATCGGAAGAATACATTCGGATGACTTTAAGGCAGATAAAACTGCTTTGCAGGTGAACCTGCTGGCACTAGCTGGCAAACAATTTTAAATTCTGTGAAAAAATTGCTTTATCTCAGTTAATTCGCATATTATATATAATGTTACCTACTATAGTAAGTATCACTTTTATTTAAAAATATAAGCTAAATATCTGAATGGTGTTTTTCTGCCGATGTATATGGCTGCAAAATTAAGTTCGTAAAGTCTTTACAGTTCCAGTTTATTTTATCTGTCATACGTACGTTCGAATAAATGAGTAAACATTTAGCATAATAAAATGAGAAAATATCCTTTCTTCCCCCCCCCTTCTTTTTTTAATGGAGAGTAAGTACATTTTGCAATACAAGGCTAGCAGTTTATAACACTTTTCAGATATTAAGCTAGACTCCGATGAATAAAATTATATGTTCATGTATTCATTCATATGTTCTGAAGTAGTTACTGATTGTCTTCTGTTCAGGCTTCCAAAATTTCCTTTTTAAATTGTAGAGACATTAAGTTAATTGGAAAAGCTAGAGAGATGAAAAATTAGCGACCGCCTTTGCCGGGAATCGAACCACGGACCTCTGGAATACCGGCCCAGCGTACAGAAGTACTACACCACGAAGGCACGCTAGGAAAGGGGGGGTAAATGCCTTATATACCTCCCTTTTTAAAGGGCAACTGGAGTTTTCAGGGGACCCAGTCGCCAAATCCTGGGTGTGCAGAAACCTCATCCAACACCATTTTAGTTCGCGCGCCACTGTAGAGATATTAGGTTTATTGGAAAAGCCGGAGCGATGAAAAATTAGCAACAGCCTTCGCCGGGAATCGAACCACGGATCTTTGGAATACCGGCTCAGCGCGCAGCGTGCAAAACCACTACACCACGAAGTAGCGCTAGGAAAGTGGGAGAAATACCTTATAAAATATTAAATTCTGTCAGCGCATTTATTTTACTTGACGCTGCACCAGATATTACATTTTAGTTTAACATTTTCTTTCAAATGATATAAATAAAAATCCAAATAACCGAATTAAATACGCTTTTATGGTAAAAATTAATTAAATGTTTTTATTTGCATTAGCACACAATCTATGTTAATTTCAATGTTTAATATCTTTAAAAAAATTCGAAGTACTTTATTATTTTTTATATCGTTTAAAGAAAATTAGCCAAATTTTTATATCATCTTAAACAGTCAAATAAAAACTTGCAAACTAATGAACAATCGAATTTATTTTTTATTTAGGCTATATATAGGAAAAAGGTATTTGGATAATTGAAAATTCGGTTATTTGGAGTTCAGATAATTGGATAGCTACTGCACTTTAAAATTTCCCATAGCTAAACGGTACTGTTGAGTATGTGTCTCTCTTTTCGGTTAACCACTTATATAACGGAAAAGTAATATCCTCCAGGCAACTTAAAAGAGAGGTCAAGTCAAACTATAATTTTTTTTTTTTTTTTTTTTTGTGTGTGTGTGTGTGTGTGTGTGTGTGTGCTTGTCCTGAGAGCACAAGAGGAAAATAGGTGGAGAAATGGAAATAAAATACAAGAAAAAAAAATTTTCTTTTTTTTTGACGGGAAACGCAGCGCAGTAGGAACAAGAAGAGGGAAACCGTGAACTGCCACTGCGACAGAATTTGCGACGGTGTCGGGAAAAAAAAGGAAATAAATAATGTCTGAATCGCCACTCCTCGAAAAGTGTCACTGGCTGACGAGTGTGTCACACCCCCGCACATCAGAATCCACTCCTTGAGAAGCTCAACAAAGCGAAACCTCTTTTAGCTCAACCGAGGCTCTTATTTATTTACTTATTTATCTCTCTCGCCGTCAAAGTGTTGAAAATGGCACGCATGGCTTGATTTTGAATCGAAGCTGGAGGGTGATTGGATGGAATCTGGCAAAGACATGAGGCAGATGTTCGAAAGCGTATCCGGTGTCACCAAATGTTTCCAAATTCTTCGTTTACAAAATCGTCTATTGGTGTTACAATTTACAAGATAATTTTGCCTCTTATCTTCCGAACTCATTGTTCCTTAGCCTAAGCGATCCACCAATGGTTGAGTGGATACGATTACTGAACAACGGAAATTTGTCCAGGACTCAACCTCCCGATTCAGATATCCTGCCGTAAAAGATTTTCGTATTTTCATCTCCATGTGTGGCGTAGGTTGCTAGTTTCCTTTACAAAATTTCTCATAGAAAGCATCCTCCTAAACCCAGTAATCAGTATATTAATTCTATCCTAAACAAGACTGCCTACTAGTAGTCCACAATTCACAATAATCAGCTAGCTTTATCTTAAACATGACTGCTAACCAGTGAGTGATTAGCTAAGACAACTGAAAGCTGGTGGTTCAACAAGGGCTCGAAATCTGGCAAACCTAACGGTTCGTGGGCGTTTTTGTTGTTTTCACAAATGTAAGAGTACGAGTCAGTTTCTCATAGAAAGGCCTCCTCGAAGGCATTTTTTCTAAGGAAGATGGTTCTTGTGCAGTTTTGCTATAATCAACTAATTAATCAAACCTTAAACATGACATCTGCTTTAACATGCATCAGCCGAAATCGAAGATTCTATCACTTCAAACACACCTACGAAGTGTTTTAACAATTCATATCCGTTTTATCAACATTCAAAATAGTTAAGTTTAATAATTAATAACAAACGTTTATTAAGCATCATAAGTTATTTTCTCCCTCCTTTGCGCATGCCTTGGGGGTAATTGGAACCATATTCGAGATGTCTAGAGATTGAGCCCCTGCACATTTCTCACGTCTCCTGCTTTAAAATAAATAAATAAATAAATAAAAACTTAATGTGGTGCCCGAACTAAAAGCTTGGTGAACAATAATTCATCACTACCAGGATTTGGC